GACCTCTCAGTAGAGATCTTTCAACCCAGAAGGGATTGGGGTCCCATTTTTAGTCTTCTTCAACAGAATAACTGCCTGCAAAGAATTTTGTATCCTGCAAAACTAAGTTTCATAAGTGAAGGAGAAATAAAGTCTTTCCCAGACAAGCAAACACTAAGGGAATCTGTCACCATTAGACATGCCCTACAGGAAATACTTAAAAGTGCTCTCTATATAAGGAAAAACGATTGATACACACCAATGTAAAAACACCCAAAAGTTAAAGCTCACAACTCTTATAAATCAGTAACACAAGGGAGAAAACAAAGTAACTAAGTATTATTCAACACGATGAGAAAAGCAATATCAGTTCTAACATTGAACATAAACAGTCTTAATGCTCAAGTTAAAAGATATGGACTAGTTGATTGGATGAAGAAACGCATCCCAAGTATCTGCTGTCCCCAACAAAACCCATCTAACTTGCAAAGATACTCAAGGTAAAGGGATGGAAAAAAACATTCCACATGAATGGAAACCAAAAGAAAGCAGGAGTGGCTATTTGAATATGAGATAATATAAACTTTCAATCAACAATAGTAAGAAAAAAAAAGGCAAAAGCATTCATTATAAAATGATAAAGGGAGAAATTCAGCAAGAAGATGTAACAATCCTAAATACATATACACCTAACATAGGAGATCTAGATTCATAAATCAAATACTACTATACCTAAGTAAAGAAATAAATAGCAGCTGGGGACTTCAGCACTCCACTGACAGAACTAGAAAGATCATCAATGCAGAAGATCAACAAAGAAACACTGGACTTAAACAGGCCTCTAGAACAAATGGACCTAAGAGACATCTACAGAGCATTCTACCGTAAAACTGTAGAATATACATTCTCATCAGCACATGGGGCATTTTGCAAGCTAGATCATGTGTTAGCCCACAAAACAAGTCTCAGAAAATTCATAAAAATTGAAATCATACCATGTATCCTCTCAGATCACAACAGAATAAAATTATAAATCAACTCTAAAGGAAATCTAAAATCTACACAAAGTTATATAAATTAAACAAGCTGCTGGTGATAATATAAATTCTGACCGAAAATCCAGAGAAGTTAGGCTATGGTTAGAAAATTTCCAAGATGTATTCTGTTATTTTTTTCTGAGCCATACAGGACCAAGGCTAAGCTAGCCAAGTTTTCCCACTATTTCCTGCTATAGGGTTAGTATTTTTCTCATTTATCCAACTTTTTGGTCAAATTTTGAAGATCCCCAGTTTCACACAAGGATCTCTTATATAACTTTACAACTGGTAGAATACAAGATTTGTTTTTGGTCCTCAGTTCATGTTTCTTCAAAATTCAAGCTCCCTGCCATAATCGAAAAGAAATTCCCCACATCCACTAGCACAGTGCTGGTGCTGGGTTGATAGTTGGGATTTGTGTTCTCTTTGTATCTGGCCACAAAGAATTTCCCAATTCACCTATCAGATTAGCTATGTATTTTAAAACATTTTATCCATCACTTTTAGTTCTTCTTGTTACCTATATTTCTAGAAATCAAACCATTTTTTAAAATCATATTAATGTTCTTCTGGATACCAGTGATGTTAATTTTGTTTAGCTCCTAAATGCTAGTCTGATTAATAGATGTCATGATTTCTCCTTCAGGTGAAAATGTAATTATTTTCCCAAATTTATTTGTTCCCCAAAATTATTACTCTTGGTAAAAGGTAATGTATATCTTGGAAGTTGCAGGGAACCTTGACTAAGGCCAGACAGCTGAGAGAAGAAAAAAAGAAAAAATATATATATACGTATGTATTCTCTTTATACTGCCTTATCACAGACCAGATTCTGAGCAGCATATCACTTAGGTATGCTTTTGGTGGATTCCCTCACTATAAATTCATGGGCCAGTTAAAAGTTAGACAAAGTAGAGTCATATAGTACATACACTTTCAGCTGGAAAAAGAAGAAAAAAATAGGGCTAAGGAGAAAATTCTCTTTACTCCAATACCACAAAATGACATTAGGTATTCTTATACTCATTCATTCATCAATATTTACCTAGCATTTATTATGTATAGGGCATTGTTCTAAGTGCTGGTGATACATAAATGAAAATATAAAATAAAATAAAATAAATATGACAGCTCTTTGAAAATAAGAAAATACTACAAACATATCCTTTGTTATTATTATCTTTACCACATAAGGATTCAGATGATTCTTGTGTTCCACAATTACAACATCTGCTTTTTCTCTCCACAAAGGAGAAAATATATCTTGATGGACTTGGATACTTCAAAGCCATTTTAATTGCCAAAGTTTCTTTCTTAATGACATTTTCAAAATTCTACTAATCTACAATTCAACACTTTTCAACTCTCATTCAGTCACAAATGCATAAGAAACACCCTATAATTCACACTGGCCTTTCCAATAAATCAATTGATTTAGCCTGTACGGTGTTCTAACTCAACTTCTATTTTCTCCACCAATAAATCTCAGGTTTCATACACACAACCAGCCATGCGCCAGAATGAAATATTTAACAAAAGCTTTAGTATGGTAGTTGTTGAGTAAGCACTCTGATACATTTCCACACTATAAACATTTAATGAGACTTTCTCCCAACAGAGTATTTACTACATCAATTTGTTTCATAGTATTATATTTTCAGGAGCAAAATAGAGCAAAGGTTATTTTGGTTACTTTACCAATACAGCTTGCTGTAAATAATGAAAAGTGCAACCATTTAATTTACAAAATCATTAAAAGAGGTTAAATGCTCAATAAATTCTGCTTTATCTAGTTCAGACAGCCTCAGCAGCTATTTGTAACTTGGATATAAACATACATAAAATGGAGGCATTTTACACGAGTTTGCCCATCTCTGTCTTTGACTGGAACTGAATTTCAAAGGTTGTTGAGACAGTATTAGAGTCCTCATTAGGATCTCATGGAAATATCTTCAGACTCCCTCCTACTTTGTTCAGAAGAAGTGAGTCTGCCATATAAAGGACCTTTCTTGAGAAAGACTCCATTTCCAGGACTATGCCTATTCCTATTGAAGCTACACACATAAACACACACATACACACACACACAGATGCATGCATGTGCACACACTTTCTCCTCCTCTCCAACCACTGCCATTCTTATTTGTAGCAGTCACTTTTAACTAAAGTGAAAAAAGACAAGAGGTCTCAGAAGGAGGAACAATTTGGAAATGTCTTCTTCTATAATGCTAAGAATATAGGATGTGTTGTCTGAGATGAACTGGACCCCTTATGGGAGCATCTTCTGACACAATTCTGTTTAGTAGTATGAAAAATGTGGTACACAGGTTGAGCATCCCTAATCTATCTGAAATCTGGAATGCTTCAAAATCCAAAACATATTGAATCCTGATGCCACAAATGGAAAATTCCTCACCTAACCTCATGTGCTGGGTCACAGTTAAAATGCAATTAAAACTTTATACATGCACAAAATTATTAAAGATATTATATAAAATTACTTTCAGATTGTGTCTATAAGGTATATATGCAACATAAATGAATTCTGTGTTTAGACTTGGGTCTCATCCCCAAGATATTTCATTGTGTATATGCAAATACTCCAAAATCTGAAAATCCAAAATCCAAACCATTTCTGGCACAAAGCATTTTGGATAAGCGATACTTGACCTCTAAGATCCTATCTGTCTACTCTAGCAAATTTCACCTCACACCCCAGAGGTCATACACTTCCTAGGACAGAGTGACCTGCATCTGGTGACTGAAAGAGATACATAATCCTGGACATTTCTGCCAGAGAAGGTACATTCTGGAGGGCAATGTTCTCTCCGCAACTCCTTGTTGATTGGCCCAGGCTTTGTGGGTCTGCCTCTCAGGTAGACTTCTTCCTTTGCCCAGTCCTAGTCCCTCCCTTTTCCCTGCCCAGATGGAGCACCTCGTTTTCTGATTTCCATTCTGTGTATGATTCTGGAGGACCCAGCCTGCAACAGCAGCCATGACTCCTTCCTTTCTCTCATGTCCCACATCCATTTTGTCAAAATTCAGTTGGTTCTACTTACAAAATTTAGTTAACATGACTCTGATTCAAACTAAAACATGAGGTAGAATCAGGTGTTGCAAGTATTATAAAATGTAAGGTTGGAACCTGGGTTACTGTAATAGCCTCCTGCCTTGTTTTTGGCTTCTCCCCTTGTCTCCCTTCACTCTATGATCCACATGCAGTCAACATAATCCCTCTAAGACACAAGTCTCAGCATGTCACACCTTTGCTTAAAACTTTATAATGCATCCCCATTTATCTTGGAGAAAAAGCCAGAGTCCTTAAAGTCTACACAGCCCTCTACAACCTGGGCCCAGTGGCTCTCTAACCTTAACTCCTGCCACTCATGCCCTGCTCTCTTCACTCAGGCACCTTGGCTTCTATGCTGTCACTTAAACACAGGGGACATGCCTTCAAGCCTTTTCTCTAGATCTCTATACGTCCAATTCCCTAAGCTCCTTCAAGCCATTGATAACATCTTTCCTTCTCAATGTAACGTACTATACAATTTAGTTATCTACAATGTTTATTGTCTTTCTTTTTTGCCTATATTCCCCTGCTAGAATGTAATATTTTGTGAAAGGCAGTGATCAGATATATCTCAAAAACATAGAAGAACATAATGCCAATAATAAGTATTTGTAGAGTGAATAAATCCTATGTTTCATATGTTGACCTCTGTAAAATAAAGTTATCACTTTGATATAATTTACAATCCCAATTCAAATTCATTGGCTTCCTTGGAAAAGGTGTAAAAGAATCAGAAGTCTACTAATAGAATATTTTCCCGCTCATCAATTTATTGGAAGACACAGAAGGTATTAGAGACTGATTGGATAACTGGATTTTTATTTTCTCATACTCTAAATTCCAACATGTGGATCTTCCTTTGTTTGTTTTCACACTGGGACATCAAATCACATTTTGTCTTTCTCTCAACTTACCTCCAGCTCATCAAGGGCACTTCCCAGGGTTGCTGCCTGAGGTTCTGGTGAGGCTGGCATATTTTGGATGCCTTGTGAAGCATTTGAAATTACATTGAGGGCATTCTGAATTTCTCCACAAACTGTGTCCTTGCTGGCTTTGAGGGAAGCGACATCAGAATGCTCCAAACAAGCTGAACAAATTGAATGTAAGAGGGGGGAGTTCTCCTTCAATGAGGCCCGGGCTCCTGCAATTTCATCCCTCTGATTTGGAGATTTTAAGTCCTGAAAAGGGAAATAAAAAGAGTGGTTTCTTATAATGGGTTATGGAAGAAAGACTTACACAAAGAAGCTTCAATTTTTTTCTGTCAGGATAAATGAAAAGATAATAAACACTAAAAAGTCAGCTATAAGTTAAAATCAAGGGCATCAATTATTTCTATATTCCTTCAGATTTTGCTAAAGGTTCTACAAAGGAGAGGTGAGACAGTTCACAAGTAAAGGTCACAATGGTGCAGAAGCGTAAAACCTGAGTGGATCTTACACTTGTCAGTCAGATCCTTATAAGTCACTAAAATATTCTGGCATTCACATTATTAAATGCATTATAAGAGAGCTTGAATTACAAGGATGCTGATTACCCTTTTCCATAGATGTTGATAATTGCATTTAACCTTTTCATTAAAACTAGACCAATTGAGATAACAACACTAAATTAAGCCTCTCACCATTTAGCTATATTTCTGCTCTTTTACAGAAATACTAATAAATTAATCCTGTTATCATTTGTTCTTTAACGTTTGTTTGACAAATAGTTACTGAGCACTTAGTATATGCTAGCCCTTGTGCTAGACTCTCAATGTTTGTATGTGAACAATTCTATGAGGATCTTGTTCTTCTGGAGCACATGGGATTTTTTTGCGGGAGAGGAAGTCTATAGACAAACAAATATACAAGAAAATTTCAGGTGATAACAAATGCTGTGAAGAAAACACAAAAGTAAAATGTCATAGAGATTAACTTGAGAGGGGAAAGCTGCTTTAACTTGAGTGGTCAGGGAAGGTATTTCTGCAGAGATGATAATTTGTAGTAAATCTAAATGAAGTGCATTATAATCGGAGGAAGAAAGGAAAGAGAAAGTCCTATATAAGCGATATGTAATCAAAACAAGCTCAAGATATGATAAAAAAAAAAAAAAACAAACCTGGCAAGCACTACCTTATCCAAATGATGGAAGTTAACATCATAAGTGATGTCACATGGATATCATGTACCCCTTGATATATTATAACAAGAAAAGCACACTACTTCTGTGGTATTCTCTCTGGAAATCCATAACCCCCATCTATTCATGACAAAAACAACAAACGAAACCAGATTGGGGAACATTCTACGTGATACGTGGGCAGTATTCCTCAAGATCATTAAGGTCATGAAAGACAAAGAGATTGACTGATAAACTATCACAGACCAGAGGAGACTGAGGAGACATAATTAAATGCAACATGGTACCCTGGATTAGATCCTGGAACAGCAAAAAATATTCATAAAAAACTGGCAAATCCAAATAGTTAATATTAATAGTTAACTGGAATATATCAGCATTCATTTCATTGTTGTGGCAAATGTTGAGAAACAATATTAACAACAGAGAAAACTGGGAGAAAGGTAGATGGGAACTCTGTACTATCTTTGCAGCTTTTCTGTAAATCTAAAATTATTCCCCAAGAAAAAGTTTATTTTTTAAAAAAAAACTAAGGGACATTTACAATAGTTCATGCACTTTATATATAATATTTAATATAATCGTCATAAAAACTCAGATAGATTCCCATTTTTAAAATGAGAAAACTGAGGTTTCAAGAGGCTAAATTCCTTAGCCAAGTGGTGGAGCTAGATGATGGCATTTCTTGTATTGTAATCCAAGTCAGTGTGACTCTCAATTCCTGATTCTAACTATGTTATGCTCTTTCCTACATGCAAAGGATTTCCCTTATTTTCTAAACCAGAAAGAGGATTTGTATTTGTACATTAATGATATCATGTAGCTTATAAAGTGCCTCTGTATAGTATCTTATTGATCATCACAACACCCTTTAATGGCGTGAGGCTGATATTATCAGCCCCATTTTAACTAAATAGGAATTTAGTGTAAGGAGAGTAAGAGACTGGTAAAAGAACTGAGATACAAACCTAAGTCTTCCTACTGCAAATCCTATGCTTTTCTCACGAGACTCTGTAACCTCAGAATAATTTTGCCTGAGGTTAATAAATGGCTTATGCTACTGTATTTTTAGTTCCTTCCCATATGAAAATAAAGGCTGTCTGCTACTTCATACAGGTTTTGGGGAAATTAACTTCTTTACAAAATGTAAGGAGGACAGTTAGAAGTAGCTGTCAACGCATTGTTCATACTCACTAATTACCTAAAAAAAGATGCTTTGTGGTTTCCTTGGCTTGCTATGATTTCCCCTTATATTTCTGGTCTGGGTTCTAATCTCAACTCTGTCGTTAGCACCATGAGCTGGGTAAGTCATCTACTCTTTCAGTGTCTATTTTTCCATCTGTAAAAATGGGGATAATGATATGTCTGCCAACCCTCCCACAAGATTGAGTACATAGCACAACAGAAATGGAATATATGTGGAAAGCAGGAAAAAAATCATAAAAAGAATATGGAACTATTAATATTTTATTCCTTAAATTTGTCAAACTTGTTGTACTGTTTTTGTACCGTGATGATCTTGGTGATTTTCATATGCCTCACAATATCAGAGCTGTGCATTCATCAGTGAAACTTAGAGGATAAATAGTGTAATGTTTAGAAAGGATATACAGCTCCTCAGAACAATACTGATATAGAGTATAAAATATTCAGAAAGAGCTAAAGAAAATTCTCTTATATTACAGTATAATCACAGCTTACTACATAATTCCCTCTGAAGTGACCATACATTATACTTTTTTACTTAGAATAGCAGTGTCAAGGTTTAGGTAGCTTTTTAAAGGTGAAAAAGTTTGAACATAAATTATTACAAAGAAGGTTAAAGTGAAAAAACTATTTCTTTTGCTCTGATGGTGACTATGTGTCATCTGACTGTAAATTGTGGTAATTTTAGTGCTGTAGGGATTTTGAAATTTTAAAAATACAAATATATTTTGCCTTTTGCGCCTATGCTTTGTCATCTTTTATCAAGGCAATCACAGAATCCTTAATGAGCAGTGATACCCCAAATAGCAAACCTGAGAAGCCTGTGAGAAAGGGCCATCAATGAACATAACAAAAATAACATATTACAGCAGTGAATGGGGGAAAAAGGGACAGGTTGCAGAGGTTAGGTAAGGGAAATTGAGAAAGCAAGACTATTTCTTCCAAAGGACATCACGCATGATAAATTTAATGTAGTAAATAGGCACATCGATAAAAGGGGAACTAATGATGGTCACCCCCTAAACAGAAGGCTGTTGTAGGTGTTTGTGGTTGTTTTATTCCGTTTTAACTGATGAAATCACGGGTTCAAAAGCTCATAGGTTATCTATGTTCCCTAAAATTTTAAACCATGTTAAAATAGGAATTACATAGTAAGGTTAATTAGGGATTCCTTCAGATGGAGAAGGGTAAAGAATTCAGCTCCTCAAGGATTGGTAATTATTTAATATCTTTTTTTAAATGCTCCAGAAGAACTCACATGAGATTTCCAAGTTAAGGAGACATTAAATGCTTCCAGCTGATGAAGAAATACACAGATGGGATTAAAAAAGAAGATCTTACAAGTCTGTGCAAGTGGGTAGAGAATTAACATATGAGTTTTAACCCTGGTGAGAGAACAAAATATATTTAGGGATTTTAAAGATCACAAAATATAAAAATGTAGGACTCTAAGCTATCAGTTAATTAATTCAACAATTCATTCAACAAATATTGTTGAGCCTCTGCTATACAAGAGGCAGTATGCTAAGTGTTGAGAATGCAAAGATAAAGAGCTCATAGATCAGAAGAGGAGACAAATAAACAAATTTATACAGGAACTAAAATAGTTACAGCACAGAGGAAAGTCCTTCAGCTTGAGAGGATTAAAGAAAATGTATCAGAGGATCTTTTTCTCCAGCTTTATTGAGATATAATTTACAAAAAAAATTATGTATATTCAAGGTATACACGATACTTTGATATATGTATATATTGTATAATGATTACTACAATCACATTAATCAATACCTACATCACCATATGTTGTTACCCTTTGTGTGTGTGTGTGTGTGTGCATGTATGTATTGTGAGGACACTTAAGATCTACTCATGGCAAATTTCAAGTAAACAATATAATATTATTAACTATTGTCACTATGCCTTATAGTATATCCCCAGAACTCATTCATTTTATAATTGACAGTTTCTACACTTTGACCGACATATCCCCATTTCCCCATCACCCCAACCTCTAGCAACCACTGTAAAACTCTTTGACTTTTTTAGATTCTGTGTATAAGTGAGATTGTACAATATGTGTTTTTCTGTGTCTGGCTTATTTCACTTAGCATTATGTCTTTCAGGTTCATCCAAGTTGTCATAAATGGCAGGATTTCAGAGGAAGCAAATCTTAAACAATGAGTACAAGTTATTCCTGTGAACAATGCAGAACAAAACAAAACAAAAAAAAACCAGCATGTTCAAAGGCCTGAGGCATGAAAAGGAAAGGACCATGCATGCGACTGCAGGTAATATTACAAATACTGGATACCTAAGCAAAAATTGTGATGAATCCAGCATGAAAGGTAGACAAGAGACATTGCATATGCCACACTAAAGAACTCTGAAAAAAATAAGCTCAGATGTGTATTTTTAAAGATTGCCTTTTCAGTGGACTAGAGAGAATGAAATTGCAGTCAAGGAGACCAGGTAATAATCCACATCCAGGCAAGAAACAATGAGTGCCTGAACACTATTGCCAGGTTACAGTAGGATGGATCCAGGGAATATTTACGAGGTAAGTCTTTGGTATATTTAGATGGGAGGGGACAGAAGAAGATATTTAGAAATGTCTAAAGAACTATTTTAGCAATTGTGTACATAGTGATGCATTAACCAAAATAGGAATTCAGAGAGAGGAATGTGTTTGAAAGAAAAAGGTGAAATACATTTTGTCATCTGCCAAACATAAGATCCCAGCACAAGATCCAATGAAAATACACTATATTTGGATATAGAATTCAGAAGAGAACCTGGGCCAGAAATAGAGACATGTCAGTCACCAGGTCATAGTTGGGAGCTAAAGCCATGTGTG